CGTCTGCAAGGAAACAAACACACAGAGAGCTTGAAAATGGATGCCGAGAGATTTAACTCCATTTTATCAAACGTGTGCTCATCCGTGAAGAAAATATTTTTTCCAGTGGATGTCTTAGTTACAACATGATTGAGCTAACTGAAGTAGTTTCATGTCGTATCCGACAACGGGAGGCTTTTAACAGATGACGTCCTGATCTTAGCTTTGCTGCTAGTGTTAGCTGTCCCTGTCAGCTGCAGCCACTGATGCTTTCTAGACATCATGATTTCCCAAAACTGAATAAATACCACACATAGCAACACAAAACTGCTTTGCTAGCTCAATCATGTTGTAACTAAGATATCTACTGGAAAAGATATTTTTTTCATGGACCGTTTAATGAGTTATTACCTATTACAGACACTGCTAATGGCTAACAGGGCTAACGGTTAGCCCAGCTAGACATGCACACAGAAATAGTAATGTTTGTTCAATCATTGTGTTTATAGACTTTACAAACATCAGATTAGTCCAAATGGTGATACAGTGATGTGAAAAATGTTATATATAGGCTATATATATAGCTAACAGCTCTGCTGGTTTTCTATATTTGTATACAACAAGGCGATTCCCTCTATAGTCCAGCCGGACGGATGAGCCATGGCTTTGTAAAAAAAAAAGTTTCTTTTAGTTGGCGAGAATGTGTCGCTGCAAACGCGACAAACATCCACTAACTTTGACGGAGTTTTCTGCGAGCGCGGCTGAGCCATTTTGTACCGCTACACGTGTTTCTAGTGGGACTATGTTTACAAGCACAAGAGTTCAGCGAGCCACCGAAGGACCACCATGCAGATTTACTATTGGTTCTGCAACGTAGGGAGTTTTTTAAACTCTGAAATTGTATCCGCCCATCTAAACACAAAATCAGGGTGAAAGTCATCAGTCTTTAGTTAAGCAAAGCGTCTAAAGACTGACTTGTGAGTCTAGTCTATCTACAGCAACATTTAAGGAGTTCTCAGTGTTGTTCCCAGACTGGGCAGTTTACTGCAGAATCTGAAAATCCTGCTGTCTCTGATATTTTATTGGTTTTATTTTATTTAAGGTATTATTTAACAAATCAACCTCATGTCGTGTGTACTACCCGTCTCCTCACCTTGTATTGAAGGCTGAAACATTATTGATATCATCTAAATTCAAACATTACATGATATCATGTGCAGCATGCTGCCATCTTACCTGGCCCACAGACTGTGTGGGGGGAACAGGGCCTGGGCCAGCAGACTCTGGTACAAGTACAGACAAACCATGTGACCAGCCGTGAAGAAGCCCACCATCACACACAGAGCATTGAAACCCAGGTGACTGATGGGAAGGTGGCATGCCCACCACGTGCACACGCCGATGAAAAGCAGGAAGTAGATGGCTGAGAAGGCAGAGGGCAGTGTGATGCCTGCGAGGAAAATGCAGGAGAGGTCAGAGACAAACATTCAAGGTAAACATACACTCACATTTGTAGTTTTGTGCTAATATTAGTTTTGTTTGTCTGTTTCACTCCAATACATCTTACAGGCTTTGTAGTTTTTTGAGGTGTGAACAGAAAACAAAGCATTACACTTAGTTTCTCAACTGTCATAATGCAACTTTTACATCACCAACACAAACTTTGTCATTATTCTATTGTGCAGGTCTAGCAGAAATAATTCTGCGGACCTAAGTACTGTCAGATGCCTTAACTCAGACTAAATACAGTAGAGGTGACACATAATCAGACTAGAAATGGGTGTTTGCCATTAAAACGTGGCTGCTTCATACACATCTTTCCCTCAGCAGCACAGATGATCTGTACATTTAGCACAGTTTCAAGGTTGACACTCAAGATTACTGTCACCAATTCAGTATCTGACCAGATATCTCCTCATCTGTTCCTGAAATATGAAATTTAACGTTGGCCAGAAAAGTGTTTTTACAGAACATTATAATGTCACAGTTAAGTTGACCTTTGACCTTTTGGATATAAAATGTCATCACTTTATCATTGTATCCCATCAGACATTTGGATGAATTTTTGGCATAATTAGCATTAAAGTTCTTGAGTTATGACCGAAAACATGATTTGTGAAGTCACAGTGACCTTATCATTTGACCTATGGCCACCAAAAACGTATCATTTTATCGTTGAGTCCTAGTTGACATTTGTGCAAAATCTGGAGAAGATCCCTTAATGTTTTCTTAAGATGTCACCTTGCAACAGAATGCAACAGATGAGGTCACAGTGACCTTCGCCTTTGACTTTTGATCTCCAAAATGTAATTAGTTCATCCTTGACTCAAAGTGGCTGTTTGTGCCAAATTTGAAGAAATTCCCTAAAGGTGGTCTTGAGATATTGCATTCACAAGAATGAGATGGATGCAAGGTTACAGAGACCCTGACCTTTGACAGGCAAAATCTAATCTGTTCATCCTTGAGTCCAAGTGGATGTTTGAGCCAAATTTGAGAAAATTTCTTAAAAGGTATTATATTGTATACACAAGAACGAGGCAGACAAGGTCACAGTGACCTTAACCTTTGACCTATGACCACCAAGAACCTATCACTTCATCATTGAGTCCAAGTGGACATTTGTGCCACCTCTGGCCTGGCTTCGCTGGCTTGGAGGCACAAAAACAGTATTGAAAAAACTGCGAGAGCTGAAGCAGCAGCAGGCTGCTAGGGTAAAAAAAAAAAAAATCAAAGACACATTAAACTCCTTCAGTATGAGAGCACAGACAATAACGTCAGTGGCTTTCCTGTCAGACTGGCCACATATGACAGATTTTCTGGGTGTTTGTGTATACTTGTCATGTCAGAATGGTGCTCAGTGACAGTACATATGAATCAGTTTTAAACAACGATGATTTAAGATTAGCACCAAATACCAATGTCAGAACTCTTCTTCTTCAAATGTTGTGAAATAATGTGAAACCTGAGAAGGTAATTTTGTTACACAGATCCTACCAGCCAAAGCCAGTAGGCTGATGGCCAAGATTCTCCCCAGGTCCCGTAGAACTTTCCGGGCTGTGGCCTTCAGACGCTCGGCCAGCTGCTTGGCTTTGGTTGCTGTGGAAACCTCCTCATCAGGATCACCAGCTAATGACTTTTCTTCTTCATCTTCATCTCCTGATGCCTCTTTCTCCTCTTCTTCCTGCTCCTCATCATCTGTGTTTTCTTCTGTTGGATCATCGTCGAGCTAAAACGGGAAAAGGACAAAAATAAAGTTACAGTTATTAAAGTACAGTATAGTGATACATTAAATTACAATTATGTAGCTTTTCTGCAGATCCAGACAGTGCACGTGCTTTGACTGCACAAGAATGTGTTTCCATGTGGGCTGTGTGCATTAAACTCCTTCAAGCTAGTAGTACCTCCTAACTGGTAGAACTCAGAAAAACTCTTAGGACTGAGTTAGTTTCTTAACTGAAAACTGCCATGTGATTATAATATTCAACAACTGAAACAAATGTTCTCATTGCAAAGGGCTGAATCTCACCTATCTCCATGTGTAAAATGTCAGAATGTGGAAAGGATATGACACAACTAAAAAGATATGATGCACAAGGCAACCATATGGTGAAAAACATTCTATAGGAAATTAGAAGCACATTTTAAGAACTTAATGAGACTTCACTTGGGCAATAGATTGGCATTGTTAAAACTGTAAGTGGGTTCATTAAACCTTGATAAGGAGGTGTTCTTGAACAGCAGAGAGAGGCACTTATTGAAAATAATTATAGTGGATCATCTCAGTTTACATTTGTCTGTGAGCTGCATGCTTCCAGTTTGTCCCTATGATGACAGGAGATGCTTCAGCACTTCTGCCACCTGCCTCCTGCTTTAGTATCCAGCAGCCTGCCTTTCAATCATCTTGCCCTGACCTACAATCACATTATGGGCTGCTGGCTGCCTTTCCTAGCCTGCAGCCTCCTGGTCCTCCTTCAAGGTGGTTCTACCAGTCTGTCTTGCTTTCTGGACAACCTGCAGGGTGGCACCGCCTACATTGCCAACCTCCGTTGCAGTATTACCTATGTTGCTGGCCCTCAGGTCGTTCTTAAAACCATCTCCACCCAACTGCCCAGCCTCTGGCCCATCTGCCAGAAATCTCCTGCTTTGCCTCCGTCTAGCTCTAAGCTATCTGCCTGAGGTATCCCGCTCTGCTTTCCAGGCTGTCCCACTTGAGATACCCATCTCTGTTCTTCAGTTCCCAGGCAACTTGTCCCTAAACCCCTCCTCCAGACCACACCCCCCACCTTGCTCAGTGTTCCTGAACGGTCTGGTGGGATGTCTATGGGGTGGTGAGGGGGTCCTGTCACAGTCTGTCCCTCTGCCCCTCCCCTCCAGCCACATTCTCTAATCCCAAGGCCCCTTCATTTCCATTTTCCATCCATCCACCAGATGCCCTCTGCCTTTCTGCAAGCCTACATATATACCTTCAAGAAATCACTGAACTTACCCTGCTCACTTTGTCTGCGTTTGGGTCAAATCCTGCATATCCTGAGTTGTGAAACTCTCTTACTGCAGGTCTTTTTTATAGACTTTTGAATACTCTTGATGTAAACAACAGATGATGATAATGATTACTGTCTTAAAAACCTTGATGAAAGTATGTAAGTAGATGCTATATTCATAGATTAGTTCACTTTTTGATTTAGCTGATCATTGAATGTTATGTGCCAGGTTAGCATGTTATGATTCCTCAACATCTGCACTCTCTTGGACCAAAACATATTTATCCAACACTACTCAAAGAGTTTATTACAATGGCTGCTTTTCCAACTTTGCAAATGTTTGCTGTGAGGTTCCACAAGGGAGCCGCCTCAGGCCTCTTCTCTGCTGTTTTTACAAATTTCCTTCCATTTACTTTGGATCCGTGGTTATGTGTGCTGACGATTGTACATTATGTACAAATGCTGAAAACAGTCATCTGTTTGCACGATTAAAGGCCACAAAGCAGTGGGCTCCAGTCCCTTTTTTTAATCTTGAAGCTTCGTTCTCCTCAATTTAAGAAGCACTTAATTCAGCTTCATGATGCTGGAGGACAGGCAGAGAAACCTCTTTCAGGTGTATATTATACTACTGTGCTGGTTCTAATGGTGATGTAACTGAGATCTGAGAATGAGGAGCTGGGGGAGGCACATGATTGGGTATGTAAAGAACATCTAGTGCCAAATTTATCCATATGCTTTTATTTTGCCTGGGAATAAATGCAAAAATGCCAAAAACATCTTAAAGGAAATTGGGCAAGTCTAGCTTGGTAAGAGGAGCTCAGGCCAGGAGTTGCAACAGTGCTAAAGTATCTCTGGGTATTGAAGGGAGGGGGGCAACAGGAGATCTGGTTTGGCATCGGCAGAGGTGGCCGACTGATAATCAGCAAGATCTGTTATGGTGTCAGCAAGGGATGACCAACTGGACTTCAGGCTGGTCACGATTTGACTGGACTGAAAGCTGGTTGCTAGTGGGATGAGGTGCGGACTAAAGTCTAGCAAGCAAGGGTGCAGACTGAAGGCAAATAGGCCAGGGGGCAGACTGAAGTGAATTTTTGGTCTCACCTCTAGCATTTTTCTTTATTGCAAATGGAAATGTTTTCTATGTTTAAGTCTAAGAATGGAAAGTTTTATAGGGCCCCTACTCTTATACACACTGCTTATACTGCAGTACATGTCTTGTTTATGGGAGAGGGCAGCAGCCCAGGGGGGAAACTGTACACTGAACACAGACACAGATTGTATCACTTTTCTTTACTGCATGTTGTCACTCTTCAGCGTTAAAAATTACAGATGCAAGAAGACTAAGGCTATCAGGTTTCATCACATAATTACAACATAGGTCTGACGGAGCATAAAAATAGAAACCCCTCCTCCTAATTGTGCTGTTGCCCACAATTGTAGATACAAATGCACACAGAGTCTATCCCTGTACACACAGTATGAATAAGTACCAGCAAAACACTTAGGCTGATGATATGAAATGCAGTAACAGGTGGCACAGATCTCATGCAAAGGTCTCATGTTTCTTATTGCTGAGACAGGAATATCACAGGAACACATCGTCCTCCTACAAAACGTGACTTCACTGCTGTGTGTGAAAGTATTCAGTCAGACAAGGGTGAGTAGTGTGCTTGGGAAACCCTGATTATGACATATGATAAATCATTCAAGAGAGAATCCAAGAATTGATCATTCCTGTTACACATAATAGTTTACAGAAATGCTGTTCACTACAGAAAAAATATGAAGTTTATAAGCAGCTGTGTCTAGAATTGAAGCTCTAAAAACACACTGTCCACTATATCTCTATTACTGTGCAAAACTAACAGTGCAACATTTAGCAGCTTAAATGTCCAGTGTGTAAGATTTAGAGGGGACGGGGGGTTTGTTCAGGAGGCTTTTACCGGAAGCGTTATTATCCACAGAGGTCTCTTCCTCTCCAATACAAACAGACCAGGTGATTTAAACCAGTAGAAACTGGTAAAACACTGAAAATAGCAGTTTCACATTATAAAGCAGTATTTCTTCAGCGTTGTTTGGCATGTCAGAGACTGTCATTAGCCTAGCACCATCTAATCTGCGCTCACACGCTTCTTCTTACAACTTAAGATCCAGATGTTCGGGAGGTTTTTACCAAGAGCTGAATTATCCCCAGAGGTCTTTTCCTCTCCAAAACAAACTGATCCAGTGATTTAACCTGGTAAAAACAATAAATAAAGCAGTTTCACTTAAAAAATCCACATTTTTCTGACATTCTCATCACAGAGTGGCTGCTAAGTATGATGGAAATGTGACAAGTGAATAGCCCTATGTAGAGCTAGTCTTTAGTTTGTCCCTTTTGGGCTACTGTAGAAACATGGCAGTATAACATGGCAATCGCCATAGTGAGGACCTGCTCACTATCTAGGTATAAACAGCTCCTTCTAAGGTAACGGAAATATGATTCTTATTTTGAGGCCCTTAAGAAAATATACTTATTACATTATATTCGATTGTTGCTAATATATCCCCCTACATCCTACACACTAGACCTTTCAGAGCTATTTTTTTTTATCAATTTGAGTTTACTTTGAGTTGGTGGAGATCGAACCAGAGCTAAAAGGAGAGTGGGCACACAAAAGGAGAGTGGGCACAAGTGAACACAAACCCCATTCCTACTGGATGATAACATTGCTTTGTGTCTGCTGGATGTGTAAGTAGGAAATCAGTGCTAAAAAGCTCCATAGAGCTGAAGGGAACTGCAGAGTTGCTAATAACTCTCTGTGGGTTCATCATTAGAAACTATATATTTCACTTAACACATAGCCATTTTATCCATTATTCATATAAAACTATTGATTGGTGCAGCTTTAAAAATTGTACCTTGGCTGCTGGTAATGGAATGGCTGTAAAGTCTGAAGTGTTAAGTGCAACACACGCTGCCGCCGGCGCGGCACTGTTGCCGTCAAGGGCCGCCCCCCAACACACACTGGCAGCGGCGCGCAGCGGCACTGTCAACATGTATTTCCCATCCCAGCCCTCTAGGTGGCTGTACCTACACTAGTTGCCAACAGTTGCCAACTGCTAGTAACAGAAGAAGAAGAGGAAAAACTTTGAGGCAACAACAACTTGAATTTCATGGGTGAGTTTCTTATCAAAGTCGTCTTATTAAAAATTTGAAACAACCAGAGTTGATCCTACGAGACATACATAAAAGGCTTTTCTCGCAGCGCCGCCATGAGCACCGGCCGCGCTGGAAATAGAGCAGTGGGCTGAATTAGAGCGGTGCGGTGCGGTGCGGTGCGGCGCGGCGGCCGGTGCCAGTGTGGGTTGGTTCATAGAACATAATGGAGGCGGGCGTTTTGACGCGCGGTGTACGGCGGCGGTGTGTGTTGCACTTTATGGTCCAGTGGTGTCCTAAATGCTGCAGCAATTTTTAGAAAATGTTGGATAGAGTGAACATTGTGAAAATTTAACAGTACCATGTGGTCAAAAACATTGGACGTGCTAGAGGAAAGTGGGTCATCTAAAATCAGGATTCATCCTCAGCAGATCATGAATATACATCGTACATTTAATGAGATCTAATACTTTGTTTCTGCGATACCTTGTCAAGGAGTTGAAGGGAAATTTTATCCTGGCACTCAAAGAAAGGTCAGGAGGTCACCAAAATCATTAGCAAGCATCCCCGAGGGACCATAAATATCAAATGGCAATATAGCTTCTG